CGGTAAAAGTTTCGTCAATACAAAGATATGCACGTTTTTCGATAACAGAAACACAAAACTGAGCAGAGAAATATCAAAACTCGAAATCTTTGAAATTAGAAATAGGATTCAGAGTTCTTACTACGAGGCGAACAAATCTTCCAACTGCGTCGTCGGAAGAAAATTGCTCTGCGACCTCCGAAACCAAGCTTTCCTCTTCTCTTCCTTCTCTTTCTCTCTCCAGCTTTTTCTCTCTCTTCAAAATGATTCCAAAATATCTCAAGTCCAATACTTATCAAATAGGATCGTCCCGGACGATTCCCATTCGTCCCGGGATGATCTGCCCTAAGGACAAATCTCGTTTAGACGAAATGTATTCGTCCATGGACGACTTGCTCTCTGAAAAAATTTTGTCCCGACAGTTCGTCCGGGCTCGTACAGGTTCGTCCAGACGAACCAGACAGATTCTTCACAATTTTCTTCAATTCGTCCCGTACTAAGGCCAGTTCGTACGAAGTAACTGCACTAAAAAAAATGCATTTCGGAGGGGTTTTACAGGTCCTTCCGACCTCCATCAACAAATAACGGTCTTTCTGACCCCGATCTCCTGCCGACTACAGTCCTTTCGACCTTTGTCGCCTACTATGGTCCTTCCGACCTCCATCAGCAGACAACAGTCTTTCTGACCTCGGTTCATCCTATCGACTATGGTCGTGCTGACCAAACAAACATGTATATGTAACTTCTACCATGTAATGCAATCTATATGATGTATATTTGCTACATCAATCCAAGGCCTTCTCCCAAGGAAGGACCTCATTTGTAATCGACTGCAAATACTAGTGTATTCATTTAAACTGGGCCAGGTCCCGTGGTTTTTTCCCTTTTCGATCAGGGGTTTTCCACGTAAAAACTCTGGTGTCTCTTATGAATGCTACACCCTCTCACTTATCCGATTATGTGATGGATCTTCGTACAATGCTAAGACATTAAATTATATATTTCTCTACCGCCGCGAATACTCGAGGACACAACAATAATTAAGCCTGTTTTTAGCAAAAAAAAAAATTATGAAGGAATTTTCTGTCAACATCTCAATACAAAATTTGCCGTATCTATCTTCCAACGAAAAATTCATGAAAAACTTATAGCACAAAGAAAAAAGTCACCCATCTTTCCCGTCAATTATTCTACAATATACCATAAAACTTGTAGTAAATAATTAAAACAGTTTAGTTGGGCCAATATTTCAACATCAATACAAAAAATAATATTAATCAAATAGTAAATGCCCACCAAAACAAAAAATCGGCAGAAACTTAACGAGAAGATTGAGTGGAGGAATGCAATGCCAATAGACAAAGCAATTGATCTTGACATAGCTACGTCGAACGACAAAGATCTCAACCAAGGCCGAGGAATCACAACAAGAGCGAATGGGAATGATGGAGGGATGGAGGAGCTTGGTGCAGGAACTTTTATTTGGTCCGGTCACAGGACGTAGCTCTACGTTCGGCCGTCAGTAGATTCGCGTCACGTGTTCTCACTATTTACCGCGCGCCCCGATAACCCGACCTGGAATAGACCCAGGATGGCTCGGTATTTCTCGATTTTGCTAGGTATTGCTCGGTATTGCTAGGTATTGATCGATTTTGCTCGGCAATAACCAATACCGAGTAATACTAGAAAAACTCTGTACAATTCGGTATTGCTCGGTATTGGTCTTCACAGAGCGGTATTTCTCGTTATTGCCAAACAATACCTAGCAATACCGAGCAAATACCGAGTAATACCTCGCAATACGCGAACATAGTATTCCCGGGTTCCGGTCCGGTTCAAGACATCGGGCCGCGCGGTAAAGAGTAAGAGCACGTTGCGACAAGTTATTGGCGGTCGAACGTAGCTATACGTCCGATCAGAGGACGTAATAAGCAGGGTCGATCTGTTTTGCATGACAATATCTTCAATGCCAAATTTGTGCCAAGTGATGGAAGAATGGATGAAATAGTGGAAATGGAGCATTTATTGGCGAAATTTCAATCGGAAACTCCTTCAAAATAAAACCAGAAACTAAATCGTCGGTTTTTCCGTCAGTATTTGCGATGAGTAATATTCCGTTAGAAAATATTTTGAAAATAGCAATATTTCTTGTAGTGTAAGATTTAATTTTTAAAAATATTATAATAAATATTCCAACACGTAATAATATTATATATAATTAATATATAGTATTGACTCAAATTAGCTAGAAGTTTAAATAAAAAATAATCAATTTAACTTAACTTGGACTTGGCTTGACTGAAAAAACAAAAAACAATTTAAAGTGAAGGTTGACATATCACCCATTGTTATAGTAATTATTTATTTGTTAATGAAATATTTAAATATCAATTCAATTATAATCTTTTGATAATTAGACCATCCCTTTAAAGGTTTTTTTTTGGTTATAATAAAAAATTATTAAATCTTGAGGTGTAAATTCAATAAATTATTATTATTTTTTTTAATTCAATAAATTATTGAGTAGGATGGATGCTAAATCTTGTAAAATACAAGAAAAAAGTTTTGACTATATATTTCAGAATTTAAGAATTTAAATAATTACAATATTCTATTATATTAACTTATCATATATCAATTTCATTAAATTAATTAAATTATAATAATATAAAATAAACAAATAAATAATAATTATTTAGTCATTTATTGAGCTAATTAAACGCTCCTTCTACGACTTTCCCTCCTGTCCAAACGTAAGTTACGACATTTTGATCGGAAGCAAGAACAGGAGCTCTCTAGCTGTGAAGGTAACTTTCTCCCTTTCGCGCGCTTCTAATGTTAAATCCACCAAACCGAGGGATTTAGTAAATCCGGGATTTAAGCCGTAAATCCCTAAATTCGGGATTTATGAAATCCCGGGATTTAACGCGCGCACAAAAACCGTTTGGCTGGATTTAGCGTAAATCCGACTTAAATCCCAACATAAATCCGATACCAAACAGCCCCTAATTATGTCTGAGATATACCGGCTGCTTAATTCCTGTTCAAATCCTGCATAAATATTGTTGCCAAACAGCTCCTCAGGAAATCGGTTTGCCAGTCCGTTTACCCTCCAGCCGAGGAGGAGAGATGAAGGTGAAGATCATATCTCGTTCCACGGACGATTTCACCCGCGAACGGAGCCAGGACCTCCAGGTGATCTTCCATTTTCACAAATGCCTTCGCGTTTACTTTTGCGAGGAAGGGAGAAATGATTGTTCTTTTCCTTCCACGCCGCTAGCTTTTTTTTTTTCATGTTTCGTTCGCAACGATGTACTTGGGTAGAGAATTCGGTGATGCTCGTCTTCCCTCATCTATGGCATTCAAAATATAGCCGTGATCCAGCATGTAAAAATTCATTTTAAATAAGAGTTTTTTTTGTGTGTGTGTCTTGTTTCCAAGCTGTGGGCTTACCATGCTAACTACTGACTAAATATATAAGACTTTGAAAAACTCACTCTTTTACTTGTTAGAGTGTTAGATTTGTGTTCTTTTTAGCTTGCGTATTAGACTCATTCGTTCTACTTTTAACCTGTGAGTTATTATGCTAGAAGTTCCAAGAAGATTTCTATTAGTTGGAGAGCCATACAGTTTTGTTCTCTTTATTTCACTCTAGTTGTTATTGCGATTACAAAAGCCACCTTTTTTTTGTTTTTTGTTTTTTGGCATGGGTTGAGTTCAAAGGTTTTAAGACAAAAATTTGTCTCGAGCCAAATCAGTGTGAGAGAATGTATGTTCAAGAGGGAGAAACTGATGAGAGAACTACTAGTAGAGTGATTTGATAGATTATTTTTATTATGTTTTATTTATTAATATGACTTCCTTTTGGGCAACTTTTTATTGATTTTATTGTAGGAAATCATCCAATAAAAAAACATTTGTTCATTTGGATGACAGCTGTTTTTTTTTTTTTCAAAAAAAATACTTTAGGAAAGCTGCCTTTGGGAAGGCATAATATAATTTATGGTAAGGAAAATAGCTGTTAACTACAAAAGCATAAAAGCATAAGTTACCTCAAACTAAAGCCTAATATCATTATTGAGTTGCGCAACATAGTTGTTGCTTATGTACCTGAAAGCCTAATATCATTATTGAGTTGCACAACATAGTTGTTGCTTATGTACCTGAAAGCCTAATATCATTATTGTGTTGCACAACATAGTTGTTGCTCATGTACCTGTAGGGATCAAACTCAATGTGATTGTCTTAGTATGTGTATCAGTCTTGTTTTTAATATTTAGATCCTAATTTTTGGTTTGCAAGATGCATAATGAATGTCCTTGATTATAGATCTTTCCTCTCTAGGTTTGACATGTAATTATATTGAGCTTATTTATTTATATTTTTTGAGAGTTTAATCAACCTTTTGATCAACTATAAGACTAGCAGTCTTGTGTTCAGATTAGTTATCATATTATAAATATGGTAGTCATCATATATGTGTATACACAGGCAGATGTTAGCTATTATATATAAAATATAGAATTGCCCACTAATTTTTAGATTTAATTCACATATTTGTAAGTCAAGAGGGATGTTTCATTAGGCATCATGCATGGGCTTTCACGGGGCCAAACTCTGGCTTTTGTTGAGCAAGATCACCTAGCTAGGCTCAACATTGTGCATGAACAAATGTTAGTTTTATTCTTTATTAGTAGAGTGAAAGCATGGGTTTTAAGTGAACTAGATCTTCCATCGATCTATTGCCAAGTATGAGCTATATTGTTACAAGTCATGTAGTGGTTGTGTTATGAATTGCGAAGTATTTATGATTAAAAAGTTTTTTTTAGAGTGTAGATTGTTGGAGTTGTAGAAGGTACTGTGAATGCTTTAGGTCCCACTTCTCTGATATTGTCTCCCGTATGTCATTCAGTAGTTGTATTTGTGATGATGGAGGAGGTCCCAGGAGATCAGAGCGACTTTGCTGGCTAGGAGATAAATGTCTTTCGTAAGGAAATCACATTTTGGCTTGGTTGTTTTATTCGGTGAGATCAATGAACATCATTGTAGATGGACAAATAAGATCTATTCAATTACATTTTGGCCATGTTGTTTTATTCTCCCCATCCTCCTTGTCCCTACTTTTTATGTTTCAGGTTTTCATAAGAAATTGTAAAAGAAAAAAACACATTAAGATCAACTGATGGTTATTTGTATAGATGGACTGTAATTAAATTGTGTGAAGAGAGCCTTATGAAGTCCGTTTCCTCCAGTTTTTATTATAATATGCTGGTTCTGTTTATCTTCTTCTCCGGTTGATTAATATCGAGGCTAATGGGTCTCCACTTTAGTCAAGAATTGTTTTGCTCATTTTTAGTAAGTTCAATGGTGATTAAATGGTTTTCTATTCCCAGTAGAGGGTTTAATTAGTTCAGTCAATAGAAACATTAGTTTAGGAACTGAAGAGTCAATATTAGATTAAATTGCTAGTCGTACTCGTTAAGCCAAGCCGAGCTTGCTGACTTTGAGCCCAACCATATTAAATTAGATGTCAGATGCTTGCTCATCGTCTACAGATGTGGAGAATTACAGGGGTTAACCTAAGAGTTATTTGCATGGTTTGTTTTACTGTTTAAACTGAAGCTTTTATAGCGTGCTTATTACGGCTGTTGCAGATAGTGAACTTTGTTTTGCTGATTTTAACAGAAAGTTTTTAGAAATTATGATCCCAATCTACGGTCTCAAGAAAGAGGCGTTGAATATACCAGGGCTTTAAATGCTGCTAAATTGGAGAAGGTAATTCACTATAAGTTGATTTTTCTTTAAGAAATGGTTTCTTAAATCAATTTTCTTTCTGATGGATTTAATTTATTGTTTCCCAGATCTTTGCTAGGCCTTTTGTTGGAGCAATGGATGGGCACATAGATGCTGTATCTTGCATGGCAAAAAATCCAAATCATTTAAAAGGAATATTTTCTGGCTCTATGGATGGAGGTGTTCTCTCTTGGCATTTCCAGCCACTTATCTTTTTTTAATATTATGAAATCTATATTTCTTAGTCCATGTTCTCTCCAGTATTTGAAATTTACCTTTATATTGTCTCATATGGTCTGACTTACATTTGGATCAAGGTGTTGTTTCATCAATGTGCTTTGATATCTTATGACCTGTTGATTATCATTTCACACATAAATTATTTTCTAATGACTTCTCACCAAATTTATTTTATTTTGCTTGTTGTAATGAAACCTAAACTTTTCTCTTAATTTTAATTCGTTCAAGCTCATGCTACTCTTCATTTTGCTTGCCACTTACTTTCAAACTAATGATGCCTATTTCCTTAAAAGTTTCAAGCCTTCCTCTCTTGCTTCCCCAGGAAAGATTTTGGGTTTCTTTCTTTGTTTTTGTTTCTCTTGAGCCTGACCAAGCTTTCTAATTTGGATTTCTCATGAGAGAAATATATGCTGATTTCACCTGGACATGTTAATTTATAATAATTAATATTGTTCATGACTGCTTTTGTTCTCAAATTTTTCAACTAAACGTGCTAGCATCTTCAGATAGAACCATTAGTTTATAAGTAGTTTCAGTGTGGCATATTAAATATCTAGAGTAGAAGGGAGAATGTCTTATTACTTGAATTCCATGCTTGTAAACATAAGTAAGGTACAAAATTGGCATGCTACTGACTTATTGCTTTGTTCTGAAGGAATTTATGGTCAACTTGATGATCCCTCTCCTCACAGAATCTATTTTACCAGTTTGCAAATTTAGCTATTGATGAAGTTGGCAAATAACTTTTAAAATAGTCCATGAAGAACTAATTTCATTGCATATTTTTATTTTTTAAGTTATTTTTAAATTTTGTTAGTGCGATCAAATGATATTAAAGTTACTTAGAATTTTACAAGAAAAAAAGACCACAATGTGGGGGGGGGGGGCGCTAATAAGTTATATATTAGAGCTTGATACAGGCACGTTATAAAATAAAAGTTTAAACGGGCATTGAAGTCATTCTTATTGTTGATTTTGGGATGCATCCATAACCCATATTGCAAAGTCATGAAACTACTAATTTCAGTTTTATTTTTTTTTTCATTTGTTTGTCTCTTTTTCTTTATAAAAAATCATGAAATAATTTTGTCAAATATTTACATATAAATAAATTTATAGGAAAAATTACAAGTATATAATCTTAAATTTGAAAATTGGAATCTGTGTTACACTTTTGATATCAAAAGTTAAATATGTCAGCAAATGGAAAAATGATTTAAAAAGATTGTAAGATTGGTATTTCCAAGAATTTCAAAAATTTAAAATCTTAATGTTACTCTCTTAACAATGAATTGAAAAGGCTGTTTATTCGACTTTTTGAAAAGAGAGGGAAAGCATTTCATGTTAGAGTTTTAAATTTTGAAATTCTTGGATGAGATATTTTCCTTTTTTTCTAAAATTTTAAATCTAAAAGATATGAGAGAACACAATTTTAAAATGTAGTTTTTTATGACCCATCCATTTTTTCATATTCTCTTGTTTCTACTTTTCTTTACTATATAGTATATTGATAAATAAATTTGAAAAGATTTTATCAGATTCAATATTGTGTGAAAAAGAGGGAAAACATTTTATCAAGAATTTTTTATTTTAAAATTCTTGAATGAGATGTTCTTTGTCTTTCTAAAGTTTAAAATCTAAAATAATACAAAAAAAAAAATCATTTCAAAATGAAACTTTTTCATGGTCCATTCACTTTTCATTTTCTCTCTCCTATGTTTTCCTTTACTATCTAGCATATGATATATAGAAGTCTATATGATTCTTAATTTCTGTACAGTTGCTTTGAAATTTTTGGGATCAGATGATTTTAGATCCACTAGTATTTATATGTATTTTTAGTAGTAATAGACCTAGTGAGGGGATTTTGACTTTGGGCGATCAAGTCATTAATAAGAGTACACGTTTTAGATATCTTGAATCTATTGTTCAGAGTGATGGTGAAATAGATGGGGATATTATCAGCAGAATTCAAGTTGGATGGTTGAAGTGGAGGAATGCATCGGGCTTGTTATGTGATAGAAATGTACCCCTCAAACTTAAGGGAAAATTCTATAAGATGGTAGTGAGGCCTGCAATGCTTTATGGTGCCGAATGTTGGCCTTTAAAAGAGAAGCATAATACTAAGTTAAGTGTGGCAGAGATGAGGATGCTCAGGTGGATGAGTGGCTTTACCCTTAGAGATAGGATACGAAATGAGCATATACGTGAAAAGGTTGGAGTAGCTCCAGTAGAAGATAAGATTAGAGAAAGTCGCCTTAGATGGTTTGGTCACATAAAACGGCGGCCTTGTGATGACCCGGTTAGGAGAGTAGAGGTATTAGATTTGACTTATGTTAAGAAAGGTAGGGGTAGACCTAAAAAAACTTGGTTAGAAAATATTAGGAACGACCTTTCTTTATTAGATTTAAACGAGAATTTGACTTTTAATAGGACACAATGGAGAAAAAGGATTCATGTAGCCGACCCCACGTAGTGGGATAAAGGCTTGATGTTGTTGTTGTTGTTGTTGTTGTAGTATTTATATGTATTAGCCGACTATTCCTATATAAAAGAATTAATTATTAGATCATCTCTATTCTTTAACTAAACAAATGATATAAGTATCTTGATGGCATATTTATATACGCTCTATGCATTTATTTTTCATACAATGCCGAAATTATTTAGTGTTTTTACCAAAGTGTGACGAGATGGAACTTTCAGATGGCTTGCCTAATGACCTTGTAATGTGATTAGGTAGTTCATTAATATGCTGTAGCTATGTGACCGCATCTGCATATTGTTGCTATTTTACTAAAATGACCCTTTTTCTGATTTAAAGCAAAAATATATTAAGCCTTCCTATACGTTTATGTATGCTGGTTTGCCTATAATTATTTCTAGTTATTACTATTTTTCATTTTTTGATTGATTTATTTTAGTTTAGGTATACTCTTGCTCCTTTTGTGGAAGAACAGCATTCGATTTTTTTTCTTATTTTGTTCTTTTTCTGCAGATATTCGTCTCTGGGACTTGGCTAACAGGTACTGTTGCACATACCTGCTCTTTATCTTCTCCCTTTCAACAAGTACATCAGTTCAGATAATTAAATAGTCTTTAGTTGAATGCATATATTTTTATTTTTTATTTTTTGTATGGATGATAGTTGATGGCTAGCTTGTCTCACTTTTACATGATTTATCTACGATTCTGTTTGCTTCACCATTTTTAATATTTTTTGTTTCGTGTGGTTTTCCTATTTATCTTTCCCTAAGATCTAACTAATTCTTTTTTCCAATTCTGTCAAACAGGAGAACAGTTTGTCAATTTCCTGGTCACCAAGGTGCTGTACGAGGCCTAACTGTATCTACTGATGGACAAACTCTTGTATCATGTGGCACAGATTGCACGTGGGTCTTGTGCTACTTTAACACCTTTTCTCCATCTTGAAGTAGAACAACACAATATTCTCCATTTTTTTATGAAAGAAAACATTGCTGAACACTTTGCTTGATTACATAAACCATTTGGTCTTATTGATATTTACCTATTAATTTTTTTTTTTATGATGTTTGCATATTATTTTGATGAGGTTTAGTTTCCATTTTTCTGTTTATACTTCTTTATTTATACGCTTTTTTGTTTGCTTTGGTATCACGACTATTGAGATTATGCATTTGAGATGTCATTGAGTTTGTAAGTTCCTTTTTCTTTGTTCTGGCTCATCTTGTTTTCTTGATTATTTTACATATGCATTTCTCATGGACTAGTGCTGCATGCTTGTTCAAATGAAATTTAATTTGAATGAATCATGTTTAGTTATTACGGATCGAAGCATTTGAAGTACTTATTATGACTAGTTCTACTTGTATATTGTGATGACACCTGTGTAGTCAGTCCTGAATGCTAATAGTATCCATTTGTCACCTAATCTAAAAAAATATACTACTCTTAGGTGTTTAACTGTGTAATGCTGTAAGACACCATCTTGCTTTTTAAGATGCTTATTTTATTATCATTTCTGCCATCTAAAGCCACATGTGATTTCTCTATCTTTTTTACCATAAATAGCATCACCTCAGTGGTAGTCTTTTGTTGATTTTTTACTTGTTGCTCTTACATTACTTTATTCTAGTATCACATACCACTAAGCCACTTTGTTAGTTTCTATTAACCATCTCATTATTGGCAGTGTAAGGCTTTGGAATGTCCCTGACTACAGGAACAAGAGTTCAAGCGACTCCGCTGGGAATGCTGCAGTGGTCTGTATCTTTGTTTTTTAAGCAACGAATTTACGTTTCTAGTTTACGTATTATTCTTGTAGTGTGATGGCATTTTCTTTTTCTGTATTTCTGTGTTTCAGCCAATAGCAGTCTATGTATGGAAACATGCCTTCTGGTAAAGGTTCCTGTTGTGCTTTCTTAATATTTATTTTGGCTACAGGAAATTTCCCCTTGTAAATAGTCTATGCATGGAAATTTATTCGATTATAAGCTTTTTAATTCCCATGTGAATATAGAAAAGTGTCATCTATGTTTTTTCCCCCCTTTTTTAAATCAGGGGTGTTGATCACCAGTGGGGTGGGAATCTCTTTGCAACAGTTGGTGCACAAGTGGATATATGGGATCATGACAGGTTTGTTTCTCTTCTAGTATTAAATCCATAGATATTCTTTTGTCCAATAAGACTAACTTTTTTCCAAAAGATCAGAGCCAGTGAATACCTTCAAGTGGGGAAATGATACGGTAATGGCAGTGCGATTTAATCCTGGTGAACCAGATCTATTTGCAACCTCTTCTAGGTATGCAGAATGCTTTTCTCAGCAGCCTTCTATTTATATGTACAACAATAACAACAACATCAAGCCTTCTATTTAGATGGTTTGCCAATATTTATGTTCTGTTTTAGATTTTTGCATATTTGTGCTTCAAAATACTTGCATTTTGTGGGCACTTTAGACAATTTCATCATCACCATTAGGGTTTTTAGTTCAGGCTTTAGCTCATCACATGTACCCTTAGAGGCGACGGGCTGAAGATTCAGAGCTAGGGGAAGGATTCTACCTGCCATTATAAAATTTGATTAGTGAACCAACAACTATGCTTTTAATACTCACGGATCATGTTATAAGGTAACTTAGACATGAATGATCTCTAAATAATTTGTACTTTTAAAGGCCATAGTGATTGAAATTTAGAAACTGCATTCCCAATACTGTATCACTTCTATGCATTGTGTTTTTTCGTGGGATTGGAACAATCAATGGCTTCCTTTGCGGTTCCAAGATTTTACCAATCAATGGCTACAATTTTCCAAGTTGTAGCTCCTTCAATGGTTCTTGATTCATAGGATTGTATCTACATTGTTCTAAGATTGTAGCTCCTTCAACGATTCTTGATTCACAGGATTGCAGCATCGAGCTACACCTTCATACTGTGGCTCTTTTCTATTTTGGTTCCTTCAGCCCAACATATCTGATTTATTGTATATTTTGGATAATTGAGATCTAGTTAATTTAAAACTGTGCAATTTTTAATTGGGTTTTTATAGTTTCTGAAAAATTATTGTATTTGGATTTTTTTAAGTTAGAAATAAGATACTTACGGCATGTAATGTGCATTTATTCAATAAAATAGGATTTCAGATTTACTTTAAATACTTCTGCGTGCTGTTGGATGTGGATTTTTTTAGTTCTTTGTAGGCCTTGACGGCTATGTCCTTGGGTGTGCTTTTGTAGTGGCAGATGTTTTGATCTTCTATTTAATGATTTCCATTTTTTCTTCGACCATTAATTTATTTAGTGATTTGTGTGTGTGATTGAAGTTTTGGTAATCTTGATACGTTTAGTTTCCTTTTTGTTTTATAAATTTTAATTGTTTCTGAAATTTATATTTGCTCACCATTTTTTTGTGGGATATCATATTTTGGTGGCTCTTGAATTATGTTTGGTATGAAGTAAGCTTGTTTGTTGTTTTCACATTAATGGTGGATAACTTTTGCTAATGTTGGGAGTTGGTAACTTGAAGGTGGTGTTTTTTGTTGTTGTGCTTTTAGTGTGCACCTCATCCTAAGTTGTATTAATGAACCCTAAATCTTAAGCATCCTACACCAAATTAGTATTTGAGCTTATAATTGCAATATCATGTCACTGTAATAATGATGTAATACTTGTGTCATTAAAAAGAGTTAATGAATGAAAGCTGCAACTTAAACAAAATTGATTCAGTCATTTTCTCTAAATAAACATGATGTACTGTCATGAGCATTTAAATAACATTCTTATATTTTGTGTGAGATATAATTTTGAATATTTTTTTGGTTGGATCAATACAACAACAACAACAACATCTAGCCTTAATCCTACTACGTGGGGTTGGCTACATGAATCCTTTTTCTCCATTGTGCCCTATTAAAAGTCAAATTCTCGTTTAAATCTAATAAAGAAAGGTCATTCCTAATATTTTCTAACCAAGTCTTTTTAGGTCTACCCCTATCTTTCTTAACATAAGTCAAATCTAATACCTCTACTCTCCTAACCAGGTCATCGGAAGGCCACCGTTTTATGTGACCAAACCATCTAAGGCGACTCTCGCTAATCTTATCTTCTACTGGAGCTACACCAACCTTTTCACGTATATGCTCATTTCGTATCCTATCTCTAAGGGTAAAGCCAATCATCCACCTGAGCATCCTCATCTCTGCCACACTTAACTTAGTATTATGCTTCTCTTTTAATGGCCAACATTCAGCACCATAAAGCATTGCAGGCCTCAGTACCATCTTATAGAATTTTCTCTTAAGTTTGTGGGGTACATTTCTATCACATATCAAGCCCGATGCATTCCTCCACTTTAACCATCCAACTTGAATTCTGCTGATAATATCCCCATCTATTTCACCATCACTCTGAACAATAGATTACGGTTTGTTTGGTTATGCACGACTTGAATGTTTTGAATCAAAAAGGATTGGTCCATCCTCAATCATTGTGGACAAAATAATGCAAGTAAAACCAGACCCACATGATTGAATTAAACCATAGAAACTTTAAAGTAATATCTGTAATTCATTGAATATATAGATAAACAGCATGAATAATTTAAACATTACAAATAAGATGAAAATGATGTTTATGAATACTATAATAGGTTTATAAATCATATTCAAGCATCATTTGCTTAGATACTATTTTATTTCTATTTTGTGTTTCATTAAAGGTGTTAGGTTTAGAGATAAAGAGTGAATTAAGTTATAATTTGCAAAAAAATCCTAATTGAGATTTTATCTATATCTTTGGATGTTGATGTATATTATGAATGTTCTATTAGACTATTAAGACTACTTAAGCTGTAATTAAAGTCCTTAAAGATAAATTATTACTTTTTTCTTACAAGCATGATGCCAAAATGATTAGAAGTGGGGTTCAACATTAGGGTTAACTATTGAATTACCGAAGGGGTGAGATTTTGATCAATTGCATAACCAAATGAAACAATTTTAGACAAAAAAATGTACCAAATGATTAACAAGTTAAAGCAAGTTAAACTCATCATAGATAAATAATTGTCTTCTTTTCTCAAGCATGCCAAACATACAATGACAAAAGAATATTGTGTAGTTAATTTTGATTTTTTTAAAGAAATCATTGTTTATGTATATATTTTTAAAGATGAACTACTTGACGGAGGAGGAGAGACTGATGACGGCCGGGATGTGCTTGGAGGGGAAAGCATTGACATGTTACAAATGGAGGGATACGAGGTGACCCATATGAACCTGGAGGGAGTTTAAGGATTGCTTGTTTGAACATTTTTGAGCAGTAGGGGAGGGGATTTCTATGAACAGTTGTTCGCTTTGATGCATGAGGGGACAGTGGTGGAGTAACGTGACTAGTTTGAGCACCTGACCAGCTGACTAGACTGGCTTTCAAAGACTGTAATGAAGGAGAATTTTATGAAAGGGCTCAAACCAGAGATTTGGGCGGCAATTAAAGTGATGAAGCCTCATGATTTGGGAGAGGCTATGGAGCTAGTACAATTAGTGGAGATCAGAGGCACCTGGAGAGAAGGGCAAGAGGCAGCAGCTCATGAGCTTCATACATGATGACTACAACCTTTTTGACATCTAAGAAGCCGACACCGGGTACTCTTAGGGAAACTCCGAAGGAGAAGACTGTAGGAGAAAGACCTGAGAAATACTTCAAGAAACTCTTAGGAACGGAGCTACATGAGAAGTTTATCCACCTTGCGAACAATGTGAGTCTTTGACCCAATCCCTCCTGGACTGGTTCTACTAGTCTTTTCCTAGACCGGCTCTTGGGAGCTGATTTAAAGGGAATTAATTAAAAAAATATTTTCTAATTGAAGAAGATAGATTTAGGGGCTGATTTGGAGATGTCTTGTTTGCTGAATTTAGTTTATTCTTAGGTTATTTGTGCTATAGTCGGTGGCTAGGGATTTGGGAGAGCAGGATCTTCCTCTCCAATTGAAGATCCAATTGTATCTTGCATTTCTCTTTGTAGTGCTTTCAATAAAAAATATTTTTGGGCGTTCTTTTCAATTTTTCGTGTTTCATCTGTTGATTTGGTAAAAAGAGGATCTAATTTCTATCAACTTACTACAAGTGATGTGGCTTCTTCTCTTTTCCAATCTCCTTGTGAATTGACATCTAAGCACTTTGTCAAATATATTTGCTTTTCTTATTGCATAAGCTATTTTGTATGTAGGATTTATATCCACTGTTATTGGTGGATATAAGAGGTTTCTTATTTATTGTGGTGACAAATTTATTTGGGATAATTCTTAGGTTACCTTGCAATAAGCATAACAAATTGTCCAATTTTGCATGACAAATATCTAATACTTAATTTGTTGACGTTGAATTTTTTTAAGTCTGGTGAAATGAGGCAAACTGGAATCTGCAGTATGAAAATTGTGGTACTTTCTTTCTACATTCTCCATTTTTCTTGTGATAGTAGCTTCTTCAACGGATCTTGATTTGTGGGATTGTGGCATCGAGTGAAACCTTTCTTTTGCGACACTTTCCCTCTTTTGGTTTCTTTGGTCCAACATTGACACTCATGATTTGTTGCATCTTTTGGGAAATTAAGAACTATTTTTACCTCTAAAAAAAAAAAAGAACTATTTTTACTTGAGAAAATTATGAAACCGGTATTTTTGGACTAGGTCTTGATGGATTCTAAATAAAATTACTGTGATTGGTTTGTTTTGGATTATAAATAGGATCTTTGATACATGCAGTATTTGTTTAAAGTTTTAATAACATTTTATATTTCCTCTTAATACTTTCATACTATTGGACGGTGGATTTTCTGAGCATTTTGCAGGTCTTGATTACTACATTTGGAGGTGAGTCTCCTTGTATTGGCATGAAGCATGAATCTTATATTGTCTGATTTCTATCTTTGATTTTTTTATAAACTTGTTTTGTAATTGGTGTGTGTGCATGATTGAAGTTTTTCAAACTTGATTTTTGTCGGATTCCTTTTTATATTTTGAATCTTGATTGTTGCTGAAATTTATATCTGTTCACTGTTTTTCTTGGGGGATTTTAGATTTTTTGCGTTATTAAATTATTATTAGGTCTTGATTGTTAAATCATTGTATATAGATCATGATTCTTTAATTTTGCTGAAGTTGCGAGTTGTTAACTTTCTGATTGTGATTTTTTTACGTATTTTTTGTGCATCTTATTCTAAATTGCATTAGTGAACTGGAGTAGAGAAGTTTTCTTGTAACGGGCACCCACAGATTTTCCTCAAACTGATAAGTTCTTGATTCAATTTCTCCCGGTCTGTTTGTTTTATCTTGTTCTGTTAGTTTCTTATATTTTGATGTTCAACAAATTTTTTATTATTTGTGGACGTCTTTACATGAAAGTAGTTTTCATCTCAACTTCTAGTTATTCAGTCATGTGCTTAATATGCTCGAATATGCATATTCATCTTATTGAGAGTAATGCAATGATCTGAACTATTTCCTCTTGAATTCTATTTACTGTAGTTTTAACTGGTTAATTATATATATATATTCTGTTTTGCAGTGATCGTAGCATAATTTTGTTTGATTTACGTATGTCTTCACCTGCCAGGAAATTAATTATGAAGGTATTACTAAGTTATAATCGTTTGAATTCAGTATTTGCATGATTTCCTTAAGCCAAAGCCTTTCTATAAATATTTAATTTATGAAACCTATCTGGCTATCTGTCTCTTGTAAAAACTAACTTTTTGTTTTCCATTCATTTTGTTACTTTTAGATGCATTTCTTTTCTAGAAAGATGTAAACTGTGGCAACTTGATTGAAATCCTTTGCTAGATTCTGCAAATTTTCCTTCTTTACTGGCCGATTAATGTTAGACGTAACTTTGAACTGGGAATAAGTAAGACTTATTGCAAATTTATTGAAAATTTCAAGTAATGGTTATGGTTACTTTTGTGACTTTTCATCACGTCCAATACTTCCGAGTCCCTTATCAATGGTAATCTAAACTGTACTGTTTTCTACCATCCTATGATTTACTGTTTTCTACCATCCTATGATTTCCTTTAGTTTTTAATCATCACGACTTACTTGTTTTAGTTTTAATCACTCTAGTCTGAGATTTCTGTTGTATATCTGAACTTTTAGTCCAATCGGGGTTGGGAGGCGGCAAATTTTCCTCTAATTTTCATCCAATGTCTATCATTTAGGACAAATTTTCCTCTATTTTTGGTCCTTCGCTTCTTACCTTTGAGTTGATTTTGTAATGTTTAGAAGTGTTGTTCTACTTGCCTTTTGGAGAATTGTGATCAACAAACTTTTATCATTTTGGTTGCACGTGTTGGTTTCTGGTGATGGGTTAGTGTGGCTGAAAGGATAACCATTGGATAGTAGTGAATAAGCCAATACAACTAATGGCCATCGTTATTTCTAAAAATGTCAACCATCTTGCCTTTCAATATCGAGAGAAAAATAACATGCTTAGGGCTGCAAATGAATTGAACTGAATCGAGTCGAGTAGGTGATTGTTCATGTTTAAGCTCGATTATTATCAGCATACTCAAGCTTGGCTCGAGCTATAAAAATTAAAAAAAAGAAAAAAAAGCTCGGCTCGAGCTCAATTCGATTTATGTTTTTATTCAAACTTGGTTCGTTTAAAATGGTCGATTCTTAAGTTTGATTAGTTTTCAGCTCATATTCAATTTGTATAGTGCTTATCGAGCATTAAACGAGTGGCTCATATAGAATCATAAACGAGTCTTATCAAACTATTAATGAACTTTACTTTTGATATGTTCATTAGCTTAACAAACGAGCCTTATCGAGCTTTAATGCATAAAGCCATAACGAGCCTGTTAACAAACATATCTATTGAGCTTTATTGAGCCCATAAGCGAGCCAGTCTATTGAGCATTTTTAAGCTTAGAAACAAGTATCTTGTCAAGATAAAAAAAATGACACTTTTACTGAATGAGCTTCTTAATGAACGCTCAAAATAAAAAATCCAACAAATATAAACAAGTGCTTATTTATAGTCAAATTAAATCTAATGCATGAATTTAACGTAAAAAACATTATTAGAGTTGAATCAAGAAAAATTTTCCATGAAAATCTATGATCAATAAAATTATTAGACTTGCAAATCATATAAGCTGTTGAACAATGGAATCTATAAAAGCTAAATATCACCCATGGATGAAGGTGACCACCATGCTAACCATAATCAATGAGAAAGGTTGATACTTGATATATTGATTTAATGTATAGAAAACATGAACGAGCTACTCAATGCCGGAGGGTTTTTTTTTTCTTTTGGAATGTAGCGCATAATTAACGTAGTGGGATAAAGGCTTGATGTTGTTATAATGTAGTGTAGGAGTATTTTAAGGTTGATCTTCATTATCAAATTCAGCACAAGAGCTGAAAAGCTATACAATTTTTATACGCAAACTAATGCATATGCTCTTATAACAATAATGAAATAGGAAGTTTGTTCCAGTAGAATTATTTCAATGTTTTACAAACATTTTTATGACATTAGTGAAAGAAACCTACTCATTTGAAAGAAAACTCAGTGTTTTATGACATCAATAATGAGATAAAAAAAAGTTGCGCATCATTCAAAGGCAAATTTAAGATTAAGAATTAATTCCCTAAACAGCATGTTATTTTGAGATCTTGATAATAATACAGTTCAAGCCAACAACTGTTTATTATATTAAAGCACTCAATAATAGAAAGGCTAGCTTGCTTGGTTGTTAAAATCTTAATTTTAATCTCATAAATAAGGGCATCATCCTTCTATTTTGAGAAGTTTTTTTATTATATCCCAAACTTCTTTTTGTCGTAGAGAGAACATCAATAACCCATTGATTTCAAGTATCATAACATTTTATAGCTATTTCATGATCATGGAATCTCCTTCACCCCAAAGTATAAATTTTGAATCTTTCAGCCCCGAGAAAGATGTATAAGATGGCAAATCATTCCTTTTACTTTTAGAAAGGTCTTCACAATATCAGATCATTTCAGTAATTTCTCCCATTCATGCGAATATGAGGCTTATAACCCTTACAGTTCGCCTTTAGGCTGATTTTTAACATTCATAATAATCAACTCTTTGGAAGGGAAGTCAAAGAACCAATGATAAAGAAAATAACTAAGAATTTTGTTAGACCGGTCCTCCCTGGACCGGTCCAGCCGGCCCAATCCAGTGGGCCGGTTCAATTTTACCGAAGACGAAGGGCGGGCGGACAGCAGGCGGAAGCCGCAGGAAGGCTTGAGGTGGGGTCCACTTGAAATTCAAGTTGTTTCTTGGAGCCAAAATGAAGGGAAGTGAGGGCAATTAGGTCCTTTTGTATCTATTTTGAATTGTATGCATTAAGTAGGGAGTAATGAGGAGGTTTAGGGTTATGTGTTGTTGTCTTGTATTTTCTATTGTTCTTCTTGTTGGTTTGGGCTCTAGATCGTATTCTAGAGATTGGGAGAGTGCGATCCTCCTCTCGAATAGAGGATCCTTGTATCTTTGCTATTTTCCTTGCATCTATTAGTAAAATACAAGTCTTTTATCCGTTTTTCCTGCAGTTTTTCTCCGTTTTCTCTCAGTTTTGGGCTGTTTTCCTGCTGTGGACAGCAGTTGTTCTTGAGATTTGTTGCCCAAGTGATTAGGAAATACTTGAAATCAAGTATTTCCTATCAAATTTCAACAAAAATGGAGAAAAAAGAACAAAGGTTAGAAGACGGAAACAGTAACCGTGTTTTGATATCATGTAGATAAGCGAAAAAGTAGAAAAAAACAACTTTGAATTTTATTGTTAGATTATATACAGTGTGAAAGTATTTATAAACTTCTCCATGACTTACAATAGAAATAAATCAAAGTTATTTAAAAAAAGAAAAACATTAATAAAAGGGGATGGCGGCTAGAATAGGAAGGGGATGCACACAAATTGCAATCTAAGGGTCATAAGAGGATCAATTCAATTCAATGGTTAGAACCCTTAATATGTGTGATCAGTGATCCCTGCCAAGATTGATTGACTTATGACTCCACGATTCTTCAACAAAAAAACTTAATAAACAAGTTTAAATATGATTTTAAAATTCGAATTATTTTCAAGCTTGACTTGCACTTGATAAGAAAATAAATGAACAAGATTGAACAAAATAGCACTCTACTTTACTCAGCTAAATTCATTTACAATTCTAATTGAAGCACTCAAGACAAATAACCCTCAACTTCAATTTCCAACTCTAGACGACCACAAGCCCCAAGCCAATGCTGATGCAGTCGAATCTTCTATTATTTGTTATTTATAAGAGTAAACTTAGGGATTTCAAATCTAAATCAAGTCTAAATTTTGATTTGGAGCTATGCAAGAAAACAACTTATGCAACAAATATTTAGATTTCATTTAAAATAAAAAAGTTCATTTTTTAATCCTTAAACCTCCTATTTTAAATTTTATGCTTATCTTAACAAATATATTGAGTAAAAATCCTAGCAAATCTTTTCCTTGGCTTAATAACATTATAATATGACTTTTGATTTCCTTCGTAACTTCTATTATATAAATCATACTCCCTATTGTCTGCAAGCCCTGAAGAGCTGGTCATCTTACTAAGCTCCAACGATTCTTATGCTTAACATTCGTTGAATGTCTTTGAAGAAATATGTTGCATATAAAAGTGGATCCATCGCACCAGCTACTAATCTATATACCCCTAAAGCAATTGCCCACTCCCACCAAATGTTATAATGGTACAAACTAGCATTAAGGTAGGCTAGCTCATCAAATTAGACTTGAGCATCATCCTAGCATCCTTCGGTGCTAAATACTTAATTTTCGAAGAATTTATATGACAAGCAACCAATGCCCTAAGGTGAAATCAGCAACCCCAGAGAATTCATAAAATTCCTCTTTATGGTGCTGCTTGTGATTGTATGAAGAAAAGACAAAATAATGAAAGGCCGAGATGGCATGCAGGTAGGGTTGTATGATGGTAAAGTTACATCTACATGTCGTCCCAAGCCTAAGGATGGAAACAAGCAAGTGATTGGATTCCATGGATAATAGGTAATAGGTTCAAGGCCTTTATGAAGCACTTGCGCCTCCAATGTGAGTTCAAACTCCAAGTTTATTAAGAGAATCCTAACTATGATATTAGGAAGAGAAGTAGAATGTTGATTTCTGTCTTATCTCTTGTTCATATTAAATCATGAATTCGTTGACTTGGGGAGGAAACTATTATTCTATACCATTGGTTTCTCTAGTTCAACACCTTACACCTGCCATAGCAAATTTGTCTCCCTTTTACAAAGCTCTTTCAATTTATAATGTGTGAACTATATCAAAATAGGAAAAATAATTCTACTATAAAGTAATAATCTTATTTCTTTTCTGAATGATATTAACTCTTTTTTTTTAGCTTAATCAGGGACACCAGCAGGAGCAGATATAGATTATATTTTTTTTTTTCATTTATCATATTAAAATGAATATATAAATTATAATGAAAATTAACCAACTAAATAACGAGAGTTAATAATTAATTAATATGATTAATGATAGGAAACACTTGGATTTCCAAGTGTTTCACACCAAAACCAAATGGATCCAAGGGAAAACTGCTGTCCACAGCAGAAAAACAGCCAAAATATAAGAAAATCTGAGAGGAAAACGTAGAAGAGCACGTAGGAAATGATGCAAACACTTTTATTTCGTTAACGGATGAAAAGCACTTGCAAGATACAACTTTCCTTCAATTCGAGAGGAAGGAAAAACTCTCCGACAATCTCCGGCAAAGCCAAGAGCCCAAACACACCAAACCCTAGATCTCAAGATAATTCAAATTCAAGATGACAAGCTAATTCCCCCCAAACTCCTAATTATACAAAATTAATCATAAAGGACAATCATAAACTTCCTAAAACAGCCTTTCACGTTCAAAATTTCCCTCCTAAACTCCCCCTCTCAAGCCTACGTGGATTCACGGCTCACGGCAGAGCCGTTTCCGCCCAGGCGGGCTCCCTCGCGTCCGTCTCGCGTAGACGCGGACCGGTCCCTGCTGGACCGGTCCAACCGGCCCATCCTGGGCCGGTCTAACAATTAACTTCCATTATGATTTTTTGTACTTAATTTAATATAATAAATGAAAAAGTATATGAAAATAATAATATAGTCTCACATACATCCTAATACCTAAAATGCTCTCACATTTAATTGTTGGGGTTAACTTTAACTATTATTTTTAGCAGTAGGACCAAATTGAGAAATTTTCTAATTGTTAAGGGACTATATTGGGGCATTGTAGGGTTTGATAGCAATATTAAATTGAGTATTTACTAATAGTTGGAGTACTTTTTTAGATTTTTATTCTTTTTTACTTGTTATCCTTGAAATTAGCCAATTGCTTATTGCTGCTCCAGTCATATAGATATTGAATCTTGTTAATGCAGCATTTTAGTTTGAATGTTCAGCATCTATTGCGGATGGAATATTTGACAGAGGCTTATTTGTGATTGTTTTATACAGACAAGATGTAATTCTTTATCCTGGAATCCCATGGAGCCGATGAATTTCACTGCTGTAAGTACGTCATGTTTTCCACATGATGTTTTTTTCCTTTTTAAAAGATTTTGTTTCCTTGCTAGGCAATTTAGAGCTCTTAGGGAAATGAGTTTCTTTCTTCACGCTTTTAAGATTGTTGTCGTAGTCAGGTTAATTTTTTTATTGCGTGACATTATTGAACATTTGAACTTCTTGTTTCTGCAAACTTATGTGGATGACACTCAAAATACCTCTTTAATGTTGAAGGCGAATGAAGATACGAACTGCTATAGTTATGATGCTAGAAAATTGGATGAAGCTAAATGTGTTCATAGTGATCATGTTTCTGCAGTGTGAGTGCTTGAAACAGTTTTTATTTTTTCTCGACTTCTTTGGGTGTCCTAAAATATCTTTATGTTGAAATTGTTGCTTTTAGGATGGATGTTGATTACTCTCCCACTGGTAGGGAGTTTGTAACTGGATCTTATGATAGAACAGTGAGTCATTTTTTTATTTGAAGCATTCATTCCTTTATCAGAAAACAGTATAAAAATTGTGTTGATGCAACTAGACATATTGTACAGTCTTTCACCTTGCTAAATTTACAATTCAAATGTTGTAGGTAAGAATATTCAATTACAATGGGGATCATAGCAAGGAAATCTACCATACAAAGAGGATGCAAAGGTTTTCTCTTAGATTTTGATACAACACTATGCTCGACTTCTGATCTCTTTGCCTAATTAAAATCCTTGCTTAATTTTCATCTTTCAAGTTCTACTATTTTGTTGTTTTCTGACGAATACAATCAAAATGAAATGTTGCATGATATTTTCACTGTTTTTCCAGGCAGAGTTTATTTTGGAGTTTTCCAGACTTTCCAATTCACTAATTTCTTACGTTTTCATGCTTGTTTCACTATATTTTGCTGTGCCATATAGGGTTTTCTGCGTAAAGTACAGTTGTGATGGAACTTACGTTATTTCTGGGAGCGATGATACCAATCTTCGGCTTTGGAAAGCTAAAGCTTCAGAGCAATTGGGAGTTGTAAGTAACACTTAACCTAATGCAGTGCGGTAATGATAACAGTTGCTTATTTGTATCCCTTCCTGCACTTGTAATTAGTTCTATCAATCGGATATGGCTAGCTCATTAACTTGCACACCACGCTCATGAAAGGCTTTATTGGACTCAATGAAATGGTCTAGTCGGCTTAAACAGGCCATTTATAATTGCCTATTTTTTTAAAACGGCTTTAATAACCAGCCTATCAAACCTATCAGGGACCATTTATACTGACAATTCAAAGTAAACTTTAGATAAATTCATATTATCAACTAAATAAATGTTAAATAGAATAGCCAATATTTTCAAGCACATGTCAATACTTATGAGGTCGTTGATGCAGTATATCATATCTATCATGAAGTTGAGCTATTGAATATGATTTGGTAAATTCAATTGGAACCACCATGTATGGACAATCAATTTTTATATTTGGCCACTTTTGCATCCGGCCAAAAGGGTAAAGATTGGGTTGTGATATGGTGTTTAGCCTTAGTTTTTGCATCAAATTGGTGTTGATGATTACCTTAATCTTCTCTTTCTTGATTTGCATCCTCTGGGTGAGCAACTCCTTTCATGTGTCCATATTGGAGGATGACCCTACCATTATGTGCTTCAGCATTTCCATCAGAGAAAAAGACAGTTTGCCGTCTCTATTGGACTCATCACTATTGTCCAACACAATTGCAATAGTTTTTTCTTTCCTAGCTTTCTTCAATTTTTTAGAAAAGAGTTCACGGTGTAGTTGCTATTTTTTTTTTTTTTGCATGGTCAGGTATCTGAGAATACATATAACTTATCACTTTTATTAGTTTTATAAGAGAAAGGATCATCATTGGTCATCTTTTACTTTTTTCCTCTAGATAAAGAAGACCTATCTTTAGATGGTTCTTTGGTTGTCTTCCTTTTGCTTTTGGGTTTGTGCTCTATGGCTATTTCTATCATATTAGTCTTACCGAAGTTATTTTCACATAACTTATCAGTTGTATTAGTTTTGTAAGAGAAAGGATCATCATTCTTCTTTTTCTTCTTTCCTCTAGAGAAAGAAGACCTTATCTTTGGATGGTTCCTTGGTCATCTTCCTTTTTGCTTTTGAGTTTGCGCTCTATGGATGTTTCCATCGTATTAATCTGATCGAGATTGGTGATCGAGAACAAAGGATTTTCATTTATAATTTGAAAATAAAGTCCTAAGGTGTATTTTACCAATGCTTACACCTTCGCAAGATTTGTTGTGGGAACTTTGTTGTGTCCTCCTACATAGATTGACCTTGGTATTATTGCCTCAAGCCGTGCCAACTTTTTCATTGATCTTCTATATACTCTATGAGGTAGAATTCTTAGTGTATCTATTGCTTGAACATCTCTCATGTCACAACTTGATGTCCATTCATCATTCAACGTGCAGTCCACTATTCTAGGGCATTGATGGCTTTCTTTGGTAAGATGAGGCAACTATATAACAATTGCTATGCCCATACATGGTAAGGTAAGTCTCTAATTGGTTTATCTTTGTTTCCAACTTCTTAGCATCAATTGCCCCATTGTAAGTAGAAATCTCCACTTTGATTTTTTTACTTCAAATTGTTGCATTCTTCATGCGTGATAGCCATATCCTCGTTTTCATTCTCTCCAACCATGTTCGCATTTGGCATGGAAGGAAGAGGAAATTGATTTGCCCCACCAGTCATAGTTGCTGTGAGTAAAAGTTCAAAATAGTCCCTCAACTATCAATAAATATCCAATTTAGTCCTAGAGTTTCGCATTGCCCCATTTTCATCTATCGACTATTGAAAATTGAGCCAATTTGGTCCCAGAGCCTGAAGGAGTTAAAGTCAACTCCAAAAGTTAAATAAGAGGGGTATTTTAGATATTTTAGATATTGCAAGTGTTTGTTGAGATAAAATTACTTACTTGGCTCAATTTTATCATTACTAGAAGAGTGTATTGAGTTAATGGGACTAGCCCCAAAATTATAAGTAATAAAATATGCTTTATATATCTTTCATGAACAATATTCTTTCTTGTGTTCTCTCTCCTCTCTCTTTTTCTCCCCTTTTTGTTTTTCTATTTAGCTCATACATATATAAACATATTTAACAATTCAATTATATTTAAACTTAACTTTAAATTAATCTTCATGCTTATCAATGGAGAAAACCAATGGAAGAACTCACTCTCCAAAAATATTCGCATTTGTTGTCGATGACACTTGTCGTTGATCACCCTAAAAAATTTTAATTGTATTACACTAAATAGAGTTAATTGAAAATAAATGACCTCCATTGGCAAAAAAAAAAAGAATAATTACAAGAGGATTCCACAGCATTATAGGAGGAAATTAGTGGTTTAATTATTATTTCTCAATTCTCTCTAAAGTCAGATGGACCTACTAAAAAAACTTCAATGAGGTCCATTATTGGAGATCAACTATGTAATAACTATGAACATTTTTAAATTCTTTCCTCTTAAATTTTTCAACAACAACATCAAGCTTTAAATATTTTAACACTTAAATAAAATGTTTAAGAACACAATTCACAAAATTATTAAAAAATTCTATTATATTGCTCAAACAAAGATAATTTGTCTATAGGACAACTCTCCAATATTTTCTTAGTTGCCCTAAAATAAATAGGATATATCATTTAGTTCTAAAACACTAATATAAAATTAAAAAAAAATTTACGTGGAACTTAGTGAACAACTCAGCTAGATAATCTTCTAAACAAAATTTTAAAACTATAATATCATTTCATTACACAATGCATGACTTAGGTTGTATGAGTTTCTGATGGGGACATCAGATCATCATGGAGAGTTTATCAGAGACGTGGCGGCCGATCTACGGCCACAATCGAGTCTTTGTATTTCTGAGTTATTTATGTTATTTTATTATTCATGATTTTCCTATTTGCTTAGTGTCATTTTGTTATTTCCGTTTGTACCCCTTTAGTGGGAGTTGTCGAGTGTGAGCCCAAGGGGCAAGTTGGTCTTTTATTTTCTTGAGTCTTTGTACTTGGCAATTTATAGCCTCATGTCTTTTGTTTTTGAGTTAATGAATGATTAAGAAAATTTTTCCTGCAATTGTCTTCTTGCATGAGCTCTTGTGAGAGTTTGAGTGTTTGATGGAGAGAGGTCCCTAGGAGAGGGAAGCTTGCGTATTACCCACCAACCTTGGATACGGCCGGGTTTGTGGTTTTCTCTTTGTATTTTCGTCTTCCCTCGCTACCTTCCCTCATTCGTCTTTGCCACTTCCAATTCCTCCAAATTTCCCAATTTCCTCCATACATCAAGCTCCACTAAAATCCTCCCCATAGCCGCCGGTCACCCACCCGACTCCACTTGGCCGCCGGCCCCACCCCCTTCGCTCCTCTTATTTTGTTTCGTAATTTAGGTTGGGATCAATTAGAATTAATTTGAAATTCAAATTCATTCAAATTTGAATTCAAAATAGTTCCTAAATTAACTCTTCTATTTTAGGAAAGTATTTGAAGTGATTATCAAACTAGTTTTTATGATGACCCTCGAAGTTGATATAGCAATAAATTTATGAGATTTAATTGTGACTCTTTTATTGAAGTGCTTATTTTGAATGCAATTTCATATTTTGTGAGGCTTTCTAATTGTTTTCTAATGTGAAAAAGCTTGCATTTATTATTCCTCTGGGACACAAACCATATGCTGCTAAAAATTACTACGCAATATTATGCTAGAATTCCCATATTCATTTGTGTAAATCAATTAAAATTTCTCTTAATTTTTCTCAATATTACTTTAAGTGTAGTTTTTAGCTCTAAATTCATTTTTCACCAAGTGATTCATGAAGTAAATTATATGAATTGTTCTGAGAGTATAATGATGGATATGTATAAAAATTGAATACTAGTATTTCTCTAATCCTGGTAGATTTTATCAACTTGAGTGATCTATTATGATACTAGTCGCTAATTTGTAAAAAGAATAATTTCTAATCACTCATATTGAGATGATAACGTCTAGAGACTATGAATTAAGCAGATTATAGAGCAAAAAGAGTCAGTTATAGATGGTATGCATGAACATAAAGTGTTCCTAATAGGTCATTCATTACATGGACCTATATATGAAATATTAAAATTTGAGTGATTTGATGATAGAACTTAAACTTGAGGTTTTGGTTGTTAGAGTAAATAGTAAAAATAGTTTCTAGGCTTTTTAAGGTGTGTTTATTTTACTCTCAATCTATTATAGGTGTTTGAGTTAGTCTCTTATATCACCTTTTGAACTAATTTGGTTATTCCATCAACTTTATCATTATTGGAAAATAATAAAAAAGAAGCTTTTCATGAGGGCATTTTTTAAAATTTAATGTCAATTTTATTAGTTTAAGCTAGTATTAAGAAGTGAGTTTTTTATTAAAAAGTTCAAAATAAGACCAATTGATCCAAAGAGACGAGAAAGTTGACAATAAGATCAATTGATTCTTATTTGAATAGTTGATTAAATTGAACAAATGGATATATCTAAAAAAATTATAGGCCATTTTGATAATTTACTCTTATTTATAATTTGGTTAATGATTGCTACAAAATCGTTATTGATTTGGGTACTTTGCTACTCCCCTGCTCATCTAGTCCTTGTGGTTATGAAATTATTTAGTAATCTTATTGTCCCTTTTTTTCCCTGGAATTCAAGATGTGGTTGCTAGGTGTTTTCCTATTAACTTTTTCATCTTTATAGCTTCTTCCGAGGGAGCGCAGGAAGCAAGAGTATCTAGATGCTGTTAAAGATAGGTACAAGCACCTTCCTGAGGTGAAGCGCATCGTAAGGTATGTTTTTTGCCCGTTGGAAGTTCGCAAATATTCAAGATGGATGAAAGCGTTAAATTAGGTTACTCCAAAGTTTAAATCTTCTTTAGACAAACATAAACTATAGTCTATATTTAGATATTTTTTAGGGAAAAAAAAGCCTCTCACTTCTACTGTTGAAAGAATGCCATGGTGCTCTTGAACTAGAAGTTATTGATGATAATTTCTTCCCAAGAATGCTACTGGTGTATAGCGCGTAAACAAGCTAAATTTGAATGTCAGTTGACATTTAGCTTGTCTTCTTAGCAAACAAGTCAAAAAATTTTATTTGGTCCGACTCTTTTACTTATTCTTTGTTTAGGACAGCTTCTTTGTTGCTTTATAAAACTGCTTTTTGTTTAAAAAAATTTTTAAATCAAGAAATTTTTGTATTAGAAAGCTGTAAAGAAGCTGTCCTAAATAAAACCTTAATATTGATCTGAACATGAGCTATTTGCGAACCTAAAATCTTTTTGAAAGTCTTATGTAACTTATAAAAGTTATATGGCATCACACATACATGTATTTATGCAAAGAAACATACATATATGAATATATATACACTCAATCTATATATTTATCCACCTATATAATATGTATTTAGGCTTTGTTTGAGATGGCTTTATTTCTACTTCTTAAAGCAACTTTCTAGTATAAAATTAAAAATTTTTATACTAGAAAACTGTTTTAAGAAGCATAAAGAAAATCGTCCCAAACGAACCCTTACGTGCTCATAAAACTCACTGAATCCATTCAAACATGATTGAATGTGACAATACTTCATTGACAGTCCTAAATGCTATAGTGGCAAACTTAACGGAAATATTTTATGCTGCAGGCACAGACATTTGCCCAAGCCAATATACAAGGCAGCTACGTTGAGAAGGACCATGATAGAAGCTGAAAGGAGGAAAGACCAAAGAAGGAGAGCTCATAGCGCACCTGGAAGTATGCCCGTAAAACCCTTCAGGAAGAGGAGGATCATCAAAGAAGAAGAATGATCATCTTGATGTCTTTTTTCTCAGTTTTGCAAAACAAGGTGTTTTTGTTCATCATTTTGTCCAGGAAATGGCTCCTAACTACGAGAACAGGTCATTTTGTTTTGTTCTGATCACAAATGTATTAAAATTTACTTTTTTTTTTTTATGAGATTTCAGATTCATATCAAGCCCACTTTTTCTATTTGTATATTAAGAGAAATTATTATATGCAAAGTCCGGCGGTAAGAACTGTTCAGTCTGTGATTATACACACCGTGTGTATAAAAACTTGATACATATTATATACAAATTTGTATATAATATGTACGCTCACATGTTCGAATGATTCTTTCTGTCTGTCTGGGCTTTGCACAGAATAATTTCTCATATATTAGTGCTTCAAACCGTATACCACAAACTTTTGTGTTTTTTGTTGTCAATGCATCCTAAGCATTGACAGAAGCTAAATTTTTTATGAAAGAGTAACAAGGAATATAAAAACTGTGCTTATTTTCCAAAATATTAAAAATAGTGCTTATAATGATTGATATAACAGACCTTGTACTAAGTATAAAATAAGTTAAATAGATTAGCCAAGCCAAAAGATGAAATTATAAAATATTTGTGTAAATTGAATTTTTAAAAATAGAATATATAATTAAATTTTAGTTGATGAAGGTGATATAAATAAATATTTGAATTTTATTTTGAAATTTATTAAATAAAATAATAAAAATAAATACTTTAACCAAATATAATGAAAAGGATAGTAAGATATTATATATAAAAAGTGAAATACGTTTAAGAAATAATAAAATGGAGAGTTATAAATGATATATGGTTATTTGGCTAATCTTTCTGACGATATAAAAGATAACTAAAACCTCATTTTTTTAATTATTTTTGTGATAGAAAAGTAATAAATAAAGGCTATGCCTGTTTAAAAGTTGAATAATAAAATTTTCACGGTATCTTAAAATTTTATTATAAAAAATTATTATTTTTTAAATATATTTGAAATTATGGTTAAGAAAATAACATGTCAACAAAGACGGCTAAGTTTTGTTAAAAAATAATTATATGATAATATTCTAATTAAAATTTAATCAATTTTTAAAATTGAATTAATTATGTTAAGTGCAGTATAAAAATTAATTAATCACTACATATTACTAATTTTAAAAGGGACTTGCATGTCTGCTTTAAAATTCGTGAAATTATTAGGTGAGGTCATCAGACGTTGTCCGGAGGTCAATCAGGACGTGCCACGTCACCAATATGTTGTGTATCATCACTGTATATGATGTGGCGCATCCTAATTGACATCCGGATTGTCCAAAACCGCACGCAATAAATTTTCTTAAAATTCATAGACATTTTTATATCTACCATTAAAATTTTTATTTTGACATATATTATAGTCAAATATTTAAATTATATAAAAATAAATTTAGTGTTAATTTATTTACAATTAAATATATATTTTCAGACTTATATTTTAATTAAATTTAGACACTAAATTATTTTTTAAAATAATAATAATAATAATAACACACACATATATATATATATCCCTATTTTACAATTTTAAAATTCTTCCTTGCAAATAATTTTGGGAGGATATACTGAGCAATTTTATTATTTTTGATGATCTGTCTGTACAACGTAGTTACGTGGCGCGCGAATTCTCTTGCTCGCTGACCTAGAGTGGCAAGTCTTTTCTCTTAAGCCTTTGGTGGGGGAGAGGGAGACACAAAGATAATGGCCGTTCCAGCCAGGCCCAACGGGATGGATCAGAACGAGGAGCAAGAGGAAGGCCTTTTCGACGAAGATGGTGAAGCCTGGGATCCTGATATCGATATCGCACCGCACCTCCTCCCTCTCGCTGTCGCAGCCAAGAGCGGTGACGTTGACGCGCTCCGCGTTGCCCTAGGTATCGATATGTTCCCGCCACTTTATCTTCTTCAGTTCTTCTGCACCTTTTCCTCGCATTTGCAATCCTACTGTGCCGATAAATAGGCCATCGCATCTTTCCATTCTTTATATACGATTTGTTAACTTCTTCATAAAAATTTTCTTCCAATTTTAAAGATCTCTTCCTCTTGTTTGCTAGAGCTTTAAAAGATGTTAAGGTTCTGACCAGAGAAAGCAAGATTATTATATTAAGGCACAAGACTATCTGGGGTTGGGTTTGTGAATACTGAATAGTCATTTATTCTCAGTGAGTGTTGCATGAAGTGTTCAGATTATTCTGCAGATCTTTTTGAAATACTTGTATCTGTGTATATTATCCGTAATAGTACTTGGCACTAATCATATCTATCCATTAATGGGTGGATTTTTCTACATGTTGTTTGTTGGGATTATGCTTGTAGTGATGATGTCTTTATGAGAGATGCATGTATGCGATATTTGATGAGTTAAAAATATGTATAAGTATACGAAGTGTTGCACTATGATTTTGAATATGACTCTTAAAGAAAATATGTATGTTAATTTTATAGAGAAGTTTGTTTTGAATGCTCCATTGGTACCCATATATATCCATAGGGTCATTTTAAAATATTAATACAATCAATATGAAAAATAGAGCCATCAGCAATCTTATGTAGCTCTCTTTTTCTCATTTAATCAATACCAATTAGTAGAATTGATGGATCTAACATATTTGTGAATTAATTATAGGGGTAACATAAGAAATTTGTAGAAGGAGACATCTTCATTAAGTAGTTAATAAATACTCTTAAAAAATCTGAATAAAAGGACAAAGGATTTGTATGCCATATATTCATGGATAGATGAATTAGTATTTAAGAGCACAATTATAGCCACTTCTTTGAGCTAAAGTTGAAATGGCTGTACTCCAAAATCTTCAATCAAATTTGAAGCCAGCTAAAGGAACTTGTGTCTGTTAGGCTATTTTATAAGTTTCTCAGCGATCATCAATTAACTAAGGAGGAACGATATAGCTTTGCATGATACCCAAGTATCATGATGTTAAGCAATAAGACACCATGACCATTGTTGACCTTTTTGTTTCTTATAATTCTATGAATAAAGTCTACTGATAAAGAAAGAGCCCTCAGAACAAGTTCTTCAATTGAAGGTCTATTTAATGATGAGCATAGGGAGGTTGAGGTTGAATGAGGAAGTGATGCATGGCAATATGTTTCTTTAGGATAATTTTGATGCTATTTTATTTATAACAATTAGGTTATTTGATTTATTTATAATTTTATATAGGATTAGATTTATCATGATTATCCTTTATTAAGTATTGTTAATGGTTATTCCTCATTAGTTTGTTGGATTGTTATTTTAAGTAGTAATGTCTTTAGTTTGCATTGTATTATTGAACGATGAATTGAATTTGAAAGTCTCTCTGATGTGAAACATATAGGAGTTACGTGCAAAATCAAAAGGAACAATCGACTAAAATTTAGCCAAAGCAAAATTATTACTAGCACATAAAAGAATACTATGAATTTAAAGTACTCAAATTGCTTAGGCCAAAGACATGCAATTGAGATTAACCAAATAATTCAATCCAATATTCAAGATAAGAGTAGATGCTAGGTACTCATAACATAACCCATCGCTTAACAACGAGAGGTTCACCTTGATGACCTTCACTCATGCACTCTATGGGGTTAGCGGCGGAAGGCGAGTCCAATGAAGAAGGATATTACCACTAGGAAGATGGCGTCGAAGGTCTTTGTTGATGGAAAAGTAGCCACGGGCAAAGAAGTAGTGGTTCTCCCAACGAGAAGCCAAGGCGTCTTGGGTTTTTGGAGGTCGATCGTCTCGGCTAAGCAGTAGATGATGCGCTTGATGTATCTTTCCACAGTCTCGTTGTATTCCCAATCGTAGAAAGGAGAGAGAAGAATGTCGATCTCCCCACGATCGTTGTAGGCGAAACCGTGATCAACCTCGGGATCTGTCATTCATCATAAGCACGAGGAGGGGACACAAGGAGGAAGAAAGAGAGAGATGGCAGTGGGCAGGAAAACTGGCGGCGTGAGTGGGAGGGAGAGGGGCCGATGGCTTGAAGAGGGGAGAGGGGCTAGGGTTTGAAAGAAGATTTCAATAAATCTGAAATAAATTTCAGATTTAATTAGATTTGGAGGGAATCAAATTGAAAATTGAATTCAAATTCAATTAGGATTGAAACCTCAATAGGAAAAACAATGGGAGAGCCCATTAATGAGGCCGGCGGGTTCAAGAGAAGAGAGAGGGAGTGTGGGAGCAATTTGTGCGTTTCCAAATCAGCACATAGGAATTAGGAAAGTTATTATGAAATCCACTTCTATTTGAATTTCAAATCAATTTGGATTTAAGTACTTTCCTAATTAGGATTTGCAAATAAGGACAGTTTTGAAATTTGAATTTCAAATTTCAAATTGTGGTAATTACTTTCCTTTCTATTGAAACTAAATTAAGAGGGGAGTTATGATGATTGAAATCATCATAATGAGGGAATTCCTTGGGTGGGTCGGCGGTGGGTTTAGGCTTGGGTGGGGACGGGTGATGCGGACATCGGTACGAAGATTTGTCGCATCTATCACAGGAGGCATCACAAATCGACGGCTATAATTTAAATCTCTAATTATGAGTTATTTTGCTAAATTTTAGCTCTTATTTTATGTATTTCCTATTTTACCCCTAGGTTGGTTTGTGTGAGTGTTGTGGCCCAAGGGGCGATTTTGTAATTTTAAGTTTTCTCATGTTGTGGCCTATATATAGGGCCTTAAGCTATTGTAATGGGGATGGTGATGGAAAATGAAATTCTTCTCTTTGTGTTCTCTTTGTGAGTTCATAGTTTCTTGATCTCTTGGTGAGTTCAATTCTCCTAGATCTCTGTGTGAGTTCTATGGAAGGCTCAAGGTGAGCGTCTGCATTACCCACCAGTCGTTGGAAGCGTCCTCGACTTGTGGTTTATTTTATCTTATTGTTTTCTTCTCCAACTCTTGCTTTCCTCCTCCCCACGCCAAGCCCTACCCGAGATTCAATCCTCCGCCGCTTTATCCACTAGCTTCCTCCACTACAACCCAAGCTCCATCAAGAACCCCCCCAAACCCGACGACAACCCCCCTCTTCCTCCTTTAGCCGCTGGCCACCACCTTGCTCAAGCCATGATGAAGATGTCAATCATCATAATGGCTCCTTAATTGTGGCCTAGCAATAAATAAAGGAGTTACCGATTTTTTATTTTCAAATTAACTTTCCATATTTGCAAAATTCCTAGAAAGGAAAGTTTTGAGTTTGATCCAATCCAAATCTCATGACATATGGAGTTATTATTTTTTCATCCTAGGTGGCATCGACCCAATTGGAAAGTGCTCAATTGAAATCAATTTGAATTTAAATTCAAATCTGATTCATTGTCTCACTTTCCTAACTCCTAAATTCAAATCAATGAGCCTTAAACCTCCACATTAATTGCTCCTTGGTTCTTGCTTGGCCGAAACCCCCCTCATGCCCCACCTCTTAAATTCTTTTCTAAAGCCTGACCTGGAATTAAGAAACAAACCCACCTCCAATTCCATACACAGCCGGCCCCCTCTCATTCCTTAACTCCAGCTCTTTGGGAAAGAATTCCCAAATCTGAGAATTCCCAAAATCTCAGGGAATTAAAGCACCATTTAATTCCTTATCCCTCCACGTGAAATCCCTTCTAAAAGCTGCCGGCCCCCTCTAAAGAAAAGAATTTGAATTTATTTCCCTAACTCATTTCTTGAATTAAGGAGTTGAATTCCCTCAGCCTCCCTTGGATCCCGCCGCCCCTTCTCCTCTCTCTCTTTCTCTCTCCCCATTCTCCTTTCCACCTCCACTTTCCTATTGGGCTTGATTTTCCAGCAACCAGAAATTTCAAGCCTTTAATTACTTCCCAAATCTGGGAGGGGAATATGGAAAAATAATTCCCCTAGTTCTCCTCTCTCCCGTTAATCTGTCCAGAGATTCCCGCAGCAGTACAGGGTTGCTGTACAGATTTCTGGAAGTTGTTAAACTGCTGTCCAGCAGTTTTTCTGCAGCTCCACACTAACTGGCCAGCCCCAAAATTCAATCCGTTGCTGTCCAAACTTCTCCTAGTTGCTGTTCCACCTCTTGCTAAGAAGGTTTGGAACATGAAATTGTTGATCTGGGAGAGGAAAACTGCTGTCCACCATTCTTCTTCAGCCCTTGGAAGACCTCTAGCTGCTGTGTTGGAATCAGAGTTGCTGTCCAAATAACCTTAGATCCTCTCCTTAGCAGAGCCGTCCTACCCGTTCTACATCAACGGGTGGTGGAGCCAGTGGGGGAAAAGGGGCGGGTTGGTGGGGGTTAAGTTGACGGTGGGCTTGGGAAGGTGGAATTATGTGAGCTTGGTGGTGGGCTTGGACGGTGGTGGGGTTATTGGAGGCCGGCGGGTGGGAATGAGGAAAGAGGTGGAGAAGACGAAGATAAATGGAAAATCATGAGCCGAGGACTCTTCCAATGACTGGTGGGCTTTGCACTTGCTCACTCTGAGCTCTCTCCCTTCTCTCTAGCTCTCATGCAAGAAGAAGAAGAAGCAAATAAAAATTAATTAAGCATTCATCAAAAGATTACAACATATGAGACCACTGTATATAGGTCTCCACTCTTCAAAAGAAAAGTACCAAGCTGCCCTCTAGGCTACAATAACATGACAGTTCCCCAAAGGGGTAAAAATAGAAAACAAAAAATACTAAACAACATGAAAAGTACTAAATTGCCCTCCGGGCTATAATGACATGACATCTCCCCAAAGGGGTAAAAATTGGAAACGGTCAACTAAACAACATATCATGAAATATGAGTCAAAAGTAGAGGCGCTGAATCGTGGCCGTAGATTTGCGATTCCTTCGTCGATAAACATGCCTTTAGTGTCTGTCGATGTCCTCATCACTCTCTCTTCTCTTTTTTGATAAGGAA